CGCGTGAATGGACGCTATTACGAGACCGCCCTGCAGGCGGCGCTGGACACCAGGACCGAGATCGTCACCATCACGTCCTTCAACGAATGGCACGAGGGGACGCAGATAGAGAGGGCGGTCCCTAAGAAAACCGTCAGCCGTCTGTACTTGGACTACCAGCCGCACGGACCTGACCATTACCTGGAGCTGACCCGACGGTGGGCGGAGCAGTTCAACAAGGAGAAGGAGCGGTGGCTCATGTGAGCGCTGGTCGAGTTCAGGAAGACAAGACGAGCAGCGAGGACGGTGAACGATGATGGCAAAATAAGGAACTTTTTTCTAAAAAAAAATAAAAAAATAACAAACTGTTGCTCAGTGGCTCGATGTAGTACCACCGGATATTTCGGGGGCAGTGTTGCACTGTACGTACATACATCAATAAAAATAACAGCAACAAAGTCATGTTTGAACCAGGGAGAAATGAGACGGAGAAACCGAGAAATCTACTGATGTCCGGTGTCCCCTTGTGGATGTAGTAGGTGGTGCTGAATTTACTGCCCCCTACAGGCAGGGCTTCACTGGAAATGTAATTGTTTTTTATTCTGAAGCTGAAGGCAGTTCTTCTGTCTCCTTGGACTTTGACCTCATTTGACAGCAGCGCTACGAGACTGAATATATTCAAATAATACGGTCACATGGTCCTGGGTCCATGGTCCAGTGGTCATTTCTAGAATATTTATATTCATTCACGTACACGGCCAGATGTGAATTCAAATATTAATTTATGATGAAGAAAAATCACATTCACCTTAAAAACCCTGAAGAAGTTGCCACCACCAGGAGTCACTAAAACACCTGACTGTTGTTTACACTTTAACATCACATGGAAAAAAAGCCTTAAAAGAATCACTGAAAATAAAAAATAAAAATCACACATGTACATCTATGAGTCACTCCCTCTGACCCATATATGGACCCCGACCCACCTTTTTATAAACACTGGCTTTTACAGTACTGTATTTGATAATTCTATGAGACTTTGTTAATACAGGAATAAAATAAAGATAAAATAATCATTTTATTGTTTTCCTTTTTCGTGATAGTGTTCGATGATCAGTTCTGTGATGTTTACACACTGGACGCTCTACAGCGCCACCATCGTCCTGATTAGGAAAGTACTCGATCCACTAAGACTGTGTACTGTCCTGGATCTGACCAGGCTTTGGTGTTAGGAATCAAACCGTTAACCACGTCCACAGAATGTCTTCTGGTTCCGTGTCCAGAGCTGGACGTCTCTGACGAACCCCGGAGCAGGTTCAATAAAAATAGTTCCAGCACGACGACAAAACCCCAAAACCAAACTTTAAATAACAAAACAAAACCAAACTTTTAAAAAAAAAATCTAAATCAAAGAACCTCGTTCTCAGACATCAGAACATTTTATAACCTTGTTGTCTGTAACAAATAATAAAAAAAAAAAAGCAATCTCTGACCTAAACGCAGCCTTAGTCTGTCAACTGGAGTCAAACTTCCTGAATTTTGGTCTTTTTTTTTGTGCGCCTCAGTGTGTGTTGTTGAGGTGTGGAGAGGTCAAAGGTCAGAGTTCTCTGACAGCCCATGTTTGTGTTCCAGAACATCGACTGTAGACGAACGAGCACTGGGGGAAAAAAGAGAAAAAAAAACAAAAAAACATTTGTCTCAGTTTCTTAATGAATATTCAGTGCAAAAGTTTTAGGCAGGTGTAGCTTCATCTTGAAAAGCTCTCCAGCCCAGGAGCTGATTGGTGGATACGGTGAAATGTGACCCAGTCCTGGACTGGAGAACTGCGCAGGATGTTGGAAATCAACTTACCAACCAGGTCTGATGATTTTATATTTTCCGAGCACTGATAGGTCGACCACCGTGGAGCCAAGACGACACTGGTCTCCGATTGGTCCGCCGTCCACCACCACCGCCAGTTTGGGCCAAAGCTCCTTGAACTCCTTCAGAGGCAGAAACAGAGAATAAAACACACACACAGAACCGTTCTGCTGATGGTTTAGAGCAGGGGTGTCAAACATATGGCCCGCGGGCCAAACCTGGCTCGCTGAATCAGAGGAGGTGGAAACCAAACACGAACTCATGTCTGCGTTTGTCACCTACGTTTACTTCCACAGTGCTGGTGTGGGAGCTGATGTTGGCGCTGGTGAGAGCTAGCGGCTGCTCGCTCATCTGACACAGGCGTCTGATGAACGCGTGGTCCGGGATTCGCACGCCCACCAGCTGGGAGAGAGGGAGGATTGTTGAGAGAGTGTGATGTCGACCTGCGTCGGACTCTTATTCACGAATGAGAAAAAAAATGTTGGAACCAGAGCGATGTGTGATGACTTACGGATGTGAAGGGGTTCAGATCCTTGTTCAGAACCTCAGAGCGTTCAAAGACCAGCGTGACTGGACCGGGCAGCAGGTCACTCAGCAGCGCCTCCGTCACGTTGACTTTACAGTACCTGAGAAGACCCGGGGAAAACAAAGCTATGAAGAACCTCTGAACCCAAACCCGTGGAGAACGTCTGTCCCGTCCTACCTGTAGATGTCGTGGATCTCTCCCACACAGATGGCCAGCGGCTTCTGTCCGTTTCGGCCTTTGATGTCGTAGATTTTCTTCACCGCCTCCGAGTTCTGGGCCAGACAGGCTAGGCCGTAGATGGTGTCCGTGGGCACCGCCACCACCTGGCCCTGCTTCAGAGCCTTGACTGTACAGTTCAGGATCTCAGCGCCACCTGCAGTTCAGCAGCACACCACAGAGAAAGTGAAATGTACCGCATGAAACAAATGAATCAAAATAACACCGGTTGCTAGAATACCGGTAATTATCGCAAAATCACGATTATTTCACCCCCTGTATATCGATCATTTATCATCGTGTTCAATCATTTAACTTATTCACTTCACGGTAACGTTAATTAGTTAGCAAAACAGTGTTTTTACGCGACGAATCGGAGCCAGTCAAGCACAGGCCAACATATAACATAACCAAAGGCGAGAATACTGAGCGCGTTCTACGGTATAGCGGTGTTTAATGAGCAACATCATGCAAGTATATCGCGATATTTAAGTTTATTTTCGTCGATAACTATGCTATACACTGACAACATTGACATATATGGCAGACTCCGAGAACTTCCGGTCCGCTTGGGAACGTCTGCCCTAATCCGTATGTACGTGAGTTTCTTGGCTACCGTCACACACCAGACTGACGCAACAACGGGAAATGTTTACAGACGGTTTAACGGCGAACACACGTGTGTGAGTTTGTGCCTGCTGTTCAACTCACCTAAACGTAGCTGCTTCTGATCGGACGGCATCGCTAGCGGCAACACGTTACCGTTGACCGGACCAGGAGCAGCGGCGTCTCTGGTTCTCATCACCTTCGCTGCCATCTGACTCACTGACTTCGTCCAAACTTTACTCCAGCTGCGGCTAACGTGATTTCTCCAACCAAACACCGCCAGCTCCGGCAGCATGTTAGTCAGACATCCTCTTCCGGGTTGACGCCCATAAACAATCACGTTTCTCTTCTTAAAGGCCCAGTTACACAGCAGTGATGAATGTAAGCTTTGGAGCGAGAGTCCTCACCTTCAAAGGTTGATCGGTGACACCCTGTGGCTCACGGCGGTACTGCAGATGGTTGAGATTTTTTGTGTGGTTTTTCCGACTTAAAAATGTCAAAACACGGCAGGTCCACTACGACAGACTGTGCAAAGAGTTTAAAAATATTTTTAATTAAAATAGTTATATTTGAGACACAAATGTCACTTCACGTTACATTTTAAAATGTGACAACTGCTCCAATAAACTAATAGTTAATTTACGAAAACTTTGTTTGACAGTCATAAAAATGTTTTATTTTACAATCCCGTCGAATAATTAGGAATAAGGATCGTTATTATAATAAAATGCTAATTATTAACAAAATACTCTTTTAAACGATAATACAAATTATCTATTAATTCACCATAAATGTTGTTCAGATAATTTCATGGAACAGATATTCAAATCACCGGGACTTTATTATTTCTTTTTTTCTTTTCCTTTTTTTAATATCTTGTAACTGGTAGTTTCGTTTCGTTAACTTGCCGCGAGCTGTTATTTAAAAAAATCGGCAGTATATAAATATTTGTATTCCGCTGTTCGACCTGCTCCTTGACGTCTGTCTCTGATTAATCATCATTGATGAGAACACGTCGATCAGCTGTGAAGATCTGGAGCAGGTGAACCGGACCAACATGTCTGCTGTGACTCCGGACTCAGGTATTTGTTTCTTTAATTCGTTGCTTTAACAACTGTTCTTTTAAGAAAAGAAAAGTTATTTTTTATGTCATTAAATTCTCTGTTAAACATTCCCAGCTGCCGCAGAAGAGACGCACTCCCCCCTGACGATAGATGACGCTGTAAAATATGTCTCTCATTAACAACCGATCTTTATTATTATATATTTTTTTATCGTCTTTTCTAACTTTTGTGTTGCTTCTCTTTACGACAGTTGAGCATGGTTAACGACAGACTGCTGACGTTGTCTGAGAAGATGACGGCGTGTGACAGAATTCTGAGCGACTTGAAGGAGCTGAGCGCCGCGGTGGTGGTGGTGAGTTCACGGTCTTCTGTAAAACTTAAACGCGGAGCGGATTTATTTTATTTTTTTCTGACTTCTGTTTCTGGTTCTTCGGCAGAGAAAGTCTCTCCAAGATCTGACCCTACCGCTGCAGAAGGACCCCCAGGTGGAGCACGGCCCCCCTCCTCAAGTCTAATATATATTTATACATTTCTTTATTAATATTTACGGTAAATAAAGGATGCCAAAGATGAGGTTTAATTCGTCTTATATTGCTCTCATTCACAAATTTAACACGAATCTGTAAGAATTAAGCATATACAAACATTTTCACATTACATTCTTAAAAAAAAAACAAAAACAAAAATACAAATCCTTATCGAGATCGAACTCTTTGGGAATCGAGACATTCCTTTAGAACCTCGTACCCAACAGCGCCCCCCCGTGTCAATGTTGCCCACTTTTGAACAAGGCAGAAAATTCTGACTCAAACAAACGAACTCTACTATTCATTTAAAACAACCTTCTTCCAAATAAACGTCACCTTCACTGACCTGTGGCCTTAAAGGAACAGTTCAGAGTTTTTTAAAGAGTGGAAACATGAAGTCATTTTACCAAAAGGTTCAGCACGTACAGCCGTAACATCAGGATCTGTTGACTTTATTTCTTTGATCTAACACAGTACATCAGGTGTGTGTGTGTGTGTGACCTGCTCACTACTGCAGTACTCTTCATGCTGATGAAGTTCTGCTCCTAGATTGGTCCAGTAGCAGCTGGTAAAGACCTCAGAACCACACTTTAAAAACACAGCTCAACTAAATTTTTTTTTTTTTTAACCAGGTGATCTTCAGACTGTGACGTCTGTTATTAAGTTATCAAATTAAATGACCTGTGGCCATCGAGTGTACAAACGACGGGGAGAAGCTGCTTAACATTTGACCAAAAAAAAAAAAAAAAAACAATTCCTAAAACAGAATCATTCATCAAGTACTTTTTTTTTTTCAAACAAATCCAGTTGGTTTTTAAACCACAATAATAATAATAATAATAAAAAAGGCAGAACCAGTGAGAGGAGAAAGGCTGTGGTGAGGAGTAGAGAAACAACAACACAGACTCAAACCTCTCACATGAACCTAATACAGAGGTGGTCAGGAAGGAAGCATGCTCTGTGGGGGGGTGAGGGGGGGGGCAGTTTGACTTGTGCATATAAGATAAAGAACACATGACGAAAGGGAGGAGAAATAAATTATGTCGTGGGATCAATCGTCTCAAAATGCCACTTAAAATTGCATAGCTGTGTTCAGTATAGATACGACCGAAGTACTACTGCAGTACTAGTGCAGTACTACTGGGGTTACTGCAATGACACACTGGCAAATACAAAGGTGAGGAAAATAAGTCTCCCAGTCCAGGGAGGGGCAGAGCTCCGACCGAAGACGGTCTCTGGAATATCTGGAATGCATAAACACGAGGAGGCCAGAGTGCAGTCTCTGGTCAGACAGCAGGGGGCAGAATTTCTCTCGGCGTTGCTGATAATTGACTTCCACAATAATCTCTCGACGTGACTAAATCACAGAGTGCATCAGTGAGTGGGTTCTACACCCGACTCTTCATTCAGGTCCTGCAGCTTTTGTTTCTCCAGAACTGGCAACAAACTTCCTTCACTGAAAAAGGAAAAATCAGCTCAAATCTTTGCTTTTTAAAGCGAAATAAATGAAGTGAAGAAGCACAAATTATAATGCCACGTGTTGATGAGTGTCGACTGTGCCTTCCTTAAAAAAACAACAGCTCAGAACAGAAGACTCAGATCCTAAAACAAGATAAAATACTGTGTTTCATGGAAATAAAGACACGTTTTTTTTCTAAAACGTCAGGTTTCAAAATACCAAAATGGAGCTGATAGTCCCTCATTGGTGCAGAGATCAGCTGTGTATAGAGCAGGTGGAATCTGTGGATTTGATACATATATATCAAATATATTTATATACATTTATACATTTTACATATATAAATATATATCAAATATATTTCTATATATTGTACATATAAATACATACCAAATATATCAATATATTTGATATATATTTATATACTGTAGATATATATACTATAAATACACATGCATATATATATGCACACACAAGTAAATGTATACACACATTGTAAATACAAATATATGAAAACATATATATATAAATATATAACAGTATTTTTAGGATGTGTTCAACGATGGACTTTCATTTCCATGAAACACTGTATTCTGAGCCAATCAGATTTGTTCAGATCAGCTCACATCGACCCGCCCTTGAAGGGGGTGGGTGGTGGGGATGGGGGGTCAAAAGAACTTTGACCCTATTGGATTTTTAAAGTTTAATTTGGACATGAAAAATGGGAGCGCGATTCCTTTACTCGACAGAATGACTGTGATCACCTGTCAATCAGGGGGAAAGCTCCACGCACGCACACGCACACACACTCTCCTGAGACTGGGTGAAGTCGAGACAGAACGTTGTAACGTCGTCTACACTGTTGAGTCGTATACAGGCTGCACACAGCGCCTCCTGCTGTCATCATGGCATTATGACCCTCACAAAAGAACACTGAGCTGAGAGGTCAAGAGGGGTGGGGTGGGTGAGTAAGATGGGTGAGGATTTACAACAACAGTACTGCAAAAGTCTTAGGCAGGTGAATACATTTACTGTGTCTCCCCCTTCTGGTCTGGTAGAAACACTACATCACTCTCAACAGTAGTCTCTCTCTCCCTCTCTCTTTGGGCTGTTTGGAGGCAGTTAGATGATTTTATATGTTTAATCCTTTAGGAAGACTTCTTATCTGACCAGTCACCATCTTTTGGCTGGCTGTGATTCACTCTGTGGGGCGGGGCCTGTGGCTGCTCACCTAGGGCAGACAGCAGGGCTAAAATGAATTCCTACTTTGAAATACATTTTTAAAAAGATTCCAAACAGCCCTGGATAAACGGAAAACATTTCATATTGACAAAAATAATCTTTTGATTTTTTTCTTTTTTTTTTACTTTTGATACTCCAACATAAAGGGGGATGGGAGGGTAATAAATGTCTCCCCTGTGTAAAACTTGTGCAGAGTACTGTGTTTTCTCATCATAAAGGCTGTACAAAAACCCCAGCTGTGTTTGAGGGAGACAGAACTGAATCAGTCTGGAGTGGGGGGTGAGATAGGGGAGGAGAGGGGGGAGAATACATTTCCAAACTCTGAGTTAAGTCATTTCAAAATTCTATACAAAAATACAAATTCTAGAACAATCTACAGGTTAAGATGTTTCCACGAAAATGTACTGCTTATATCCTTCTTTCTCTCTATACATGTATATATGTATATATATTTATATATCTATGTATATATTTATAAACACACACTGTCACCTTTTAGATGCTACGTTTTTACAGCAGTTGTGTACAAAAAGGTAGTGGTGCTGCACCTCAGCCCACCAGCCGTAACTTGACTCACGTTACGAGTTGGTGTGCAACACACAGGCAGCAAGACGTAGGGCGACTGCAGGTGAGGGGAGGAGGAGTGGGGGTCGGGGGAGTCAAAGGCGGGAGTCAAAGGGCAACAGTAACGATAGACTGGAGAAGGTCAAGTGGGATGAACTATGACCCCTGATGCATCCCTGAGAGGGCGGAGCCCCGAGAGACGTGGGATGTTGACAGTCACTTCTTTTTACTTTTCACTGTGACAAATGTTTTTTGTTTTTTTTTCTTATCAAAAATCAAAATGAATCCAGAGGATAATCTGCGTCATTGTCGACCGTCGCCCCTCCCCCAACCCCTCACTCTCCACCGTGTTCCAGTACGCTCTCAAACAGATGAGCAGTTCAGTAACAAAACAACACAAAAGTACACGTGATTGAAATAAATTAATAATAGATCTCTCTCTGCCGTCGTCAACACCGTGGTATCAGCAGTGGAAATGAAAGAATCAAACATTTGAATAAATTAAGAACAACATATACAACTTTTAAATTAGTTTAAGTTAGAGCTAACTCACTGAGATCACTGAGAGGAGACGTCCCATTAATTAGATAAAGATAAAGGTGAAACGAAGAGGGAAAGTAAATCATCACATTTTCTGGTCTGACCACAAACACAAACTGAGGACAGAAAAAAAAAACCCCACACACTTCATGTTTTTTTACGAGGGTGGGGGTGAGGGTGGGAGGGCTGTGTGTGTTGCCGACGCCTTCATTTTTTTTTTTTTTAGCTGGCAGCGTTTCTGAACCACTTCAAACTCATTTCTAATTCTATACAGTGCATAACGGGCGGCTTGAGTTACGGCCGTGAAGCGTTGGTACGGACCTGGGCTACAGTACAAGGATTTACAGACACGTCACTCCCCCCTTTCCCCCCCCGCTCAGGTCTGGGACCGATGGGTCGGGGAACTGGAACTCTACGACATCAGTGCTTGGACAACACTCAGGGTCAGATTGCTGTTTAACCAAACCATCTATTGCCTTTTCCCTGCATTCAACTTTGCAAATTGACAAAAAAAAAAACAAAAAAAAAACATCTACTGCAATGAGAAAAAAAAACAAAAAACATGTTTGTTCATGTTGCAAAAAAATAAAAATAAAATGCCTCACAAAACAAAATACACTGCAGGTATGAGTTCAGGACAGAGGTTTGAAATGTAAGTGGGTGGGTGCAAACAAACAAACTCAGAAGGTGGCGCTCTTCTAAATGTTGCCATCGGTGGCCATGTTGAAATCGTCCGTGACCAGCAGCAGAGCCTCAATGTTGGCGGCCGTCTCCGGGCTCTGCAGGGACAGGAAGCCTGAGACGTCCATGATGGACGAGCCGTTGGCGTCGGCGGGGGCGGCCGTGCTCGCCATTTTGGAGAGAGTCTGAGTGGAGGGCGGGAGGAAGGAAACTGTGTTTAGGCTCGCCTCACCCACGTTGGAGGAAGACTCTGGGACACAGCACGAGGAAGAAGAGGAGGAGGAGGGAGGAGGCTGGGGGAGGTCCGGGGGCTCTGACAGAGGAGGAGGAGGGGGCTCGGGGGCCGGCTGCTGTGCCGGGGTCAGAACGATGGAGGGGGCGCTCTTGTCTCTGGCAGAGTCCCTGCAGGCACACTGGCACTGACAGGACTCCTCCTGTTTGATGATGATGACGGGCAGACTGAGGCCGATCTGCTGCACCGAGTTTCCTGAGACAAACCAGAACCAGTTCAAGGAGGTGACAACAAATAATAAACTACTATCACCGGTCGTCAAGGCAACTGAGAAAAGTTGTAGTTTGGTCGTACACTGAAAACAAAAACCACAAAACAAGTTGTAGTTTGGTCGTACACTGAAAAAGTTTCACTCGCTAGCGCCCCCCTTCCTTCTTTTTTGTTTTTTCAAGTTTTAAAGCAAATCACTCTCTGCAACACTAAACTGTAGAGGTCACAGCCAGGCTTGTTGTCCAACCACAGGGAGGCAGCCCGACCAGTGACCACTTCCAGGAACAGGACTTAAAACCACATTTGAATTTTTTTAACACTTAACTTTTAGATAAAATGCCTTCAAACAGAAATGTTCAATGTTGAGAATAATCTCTTAAATAAATAACTTGAATCTTTTTTGAACAAATAAAAAAAATGACCTACCAGTACTTCCACCCACTGGTATGGCTGTAGTAAAGAAGACCTTCTCCACCTTTGGAGCGCCTCGTTGTGACTGAGAACACACAGCAAACAACAAAGTTACTGCAGAGGAAATGATTGAACTTTTAACCTGGAGAAAAAAAAATACAATTACATTGTAAATTGGCTTCATCTGTTTTGCACACCAGCACCGCCACTGGTGAACAGTGAGTATTACACAATTACAGAGTAAACACAGACTAACCGTGTGTACGTCAACATCTACTAATATACAGTACATGTGGTACTGCAGTATTACGATGACATCACGCTGCTGTGAGTCACCACGGAGGAAACAACATCTCACCGACTGCTCCTGGTTCTGCTGGCTGCTGGCAGCGCCGCTCCGGATCCACCGAAGGGTCTGGGCGGACATGACGAAGCCCGGGCGGGGCAGGGGT